AGCAGGTCCAACAAAAGTCCTTTTCAACTCTTCCCCAGCATCTTCAGGTTATCCTGCTGCTGCGGCTCTTGCTGAGTCCCTTCCCATGCTCCAGGTGTTTACTAAATTAAATCTAGTGTCAGTACTACAGGATCCATCAGCTGTTTTCTATTCATATAAAACTGATGTTCAGAGGGAAAGGGCTGAAATGCGAGACAATTACTTTTAATTTGTATTTCCTCTTGCCTACATTATCCAAGAACTGCTCTCTACTGCATTTCCAGGAGCAACAGGCTCTGCTGGGTCTCAGACACTTGCAAAGAAAAGCTTTTGGTTCACTGACAGAAATTAAGTTAGTGGGAACAAGTGAACAAGTGGAACACTTGTTCATACATCACATAATACAAGCACTTAAAATTCTCCATTGCTTGTTAGTGAAGACTGTAGGTTATTGACTGATCTTGAAACAAAGAAACCCAAACTAAGTCTCTTGTAATTTCCTGACAGCAAAATATAATTTCTGTTTATTATTGTTGTCACCTACCTGAGCAGCATGAGTACTGACAGCAAAATATAATTTCTGTTTATTGTTGTCACCTACCTGAGCAGCATGAGTCAGTTTAAGGGTGAAATGAGGAATAGCTCTGTGGTAAGTGTTAAATTACTCTTATCTATTTATTTTTTTTGCCATGAATGTGTATAAGGGAAAAACCTCTATCTAAACACTTCTGAAACCTCTGGCCATTTACTCCTTTTGAGTAATCTGTGATGCTCAGGTTGTCAACTAGACTGTGTTAATTTAAATACATTGTATTAATTTGAATCTACAGGCTTTCACCAAACCTGTATTAGGGAGTATACAGACATGTATATGTAAGGTAAACATATCTTGAGCTAGTTAATAAAGACTGCTCTGAATGATGTGTCCAGAAGTAGGTATCTGGATGAATACCTGCAAAATCCTGTTTATCTGCTTACTCTTTGCTGCTGGTATTGCCATAACAACAGGATAGTGAAACAGTAATCTGCCACTCCAGTAAAATAAGGCAGCCTTTCATAAGTTCTCAATATGAAAAGCTAATTAGCCTCTGAATAAAACCTGGTCACTACCTAGTTCATCACACAAGTATGTCAGTCACTTAGAGATCCAACATGGCTTTAGGACAAAACATCTAACAAATAATTGGATTTTCTTTGTACTGTTCCATTTTCAGTTTATTTGGCTAAATGGAAATATTGTATGTCCTCTTTTAGCATTTTCTGTGGTCTTTATTTCCTTTTTTCCTCTGCATTTGTTATTAAATTTGGTCTGGGATTGGGAACTAATGTGTTGAAGGAGGAGTATACATTTGAATCTAAGCTATTGGGCAAAATGGGAGGTGCCTGTGGTGGGTATATTTTCCTATATCTTCTAGGGAACAATTTCCTATTAGATTTTACTGGGTTATTTTTACAGTCAAGACTTCCATTTATTTCTTTTTGCATTTAAAAAAAAAAACTTGGTGTGTTTGCCTAGTTTAGAAAACTCGTGGCCCTTTTTGGCTCTGAGAACAGCAGCATTTGCTTTCCTTTATGACCTTAAGCTGGGACCCTTGAGGTGTTCATACTGGACAGGTGAAATGAGTGTTTCTATTTGTGCATTAAGAGCCTTTCAACTCTAATTTGAACTACAGGATAAGCTGAAGTTGCAGCAGTGGATGAGTTTAATGTTAAAGGAGAATCACTGTTATCTGTGAGAGAGGGGGAAGACCACTGAAGGATGCAGTTGCTGTCGTGTTGGCAGAGAACTCTGAGTTGTTGCTACTTCCTGTGCATTGGTTTGCATCACAGAGTGGTCTGGGACAACACGACCAGGGCCAGACCAGGGTGGAGGATGGTCTCCAGGAGCATAGTTCATGTCCTCCAGGCACCAGTGAGCATGTGGTGTGCAGCTCAGAGTGGCTCAAAAAAACCCTCTGCTGTGGCCACCACATCTGGCCAGTGGCAACCAGGGAGTTGCTGTCTCACCCTGATGAGCCAGAGCTACAGGGGCTGGAAACTGGCTCATCTGCTCAGCCTCCAAAGTTACCTTGCCCAGAGCCCATGCACAGGACAGATGCTTTCATGGGTCATCCAAAAGGCTGAAGCAATCTGCTTAGGCTGCTTATCTCTCTTAATTATCAGCTTGATTGAAGGAAGTGAAGGCTCACTTGGAGCTCCTAACCTCTTTCAACCTTCCTATTTGTTCAGAAATGAGCTCTGCCAGCCATGAGTCAGCATGTGCCACATGTACATAAGCTGCATTTACAAAATAACCCTCTGATAAAGATCAGGAATGAAGCAGTGCTCTCCAGAAGGAGGTATGTTCTCAACAAGTATATACGTTCCTATAGCAGGTTTGTTGTAAGCAGATGTTGGAAATTTGAATAAAAATCCAGCATCTGGAAGACAGGCTATTTATATTAGCAGGAATTTGGCTGACAGAAAAAAAACCCAGTTTTTGATTGCACCAAATAGTACTTATCTTGTAAAAATGCAATAAGAAATAAAATGAAACCAGAAGTAAACCTGTTCTAACACAGCTGGCATTTTGGCCATTAAAATTGCTGGACATGGCTGAAAATTCCTGGAAGAGATTGTATGTTACTATGTCAGTTAAAAATACTTAAGTTTCTCTTATTTAGTAAATTATTTTGCTACTTTCTTGCTTGTCAGTACTCTCCAAAAAAGTTGTGTTGTATTTTATGCTTTATGGACATGTGTTTTTTGTTCTCAAGCATTATGTTTCTGGAGAATTTTTATTGAGTATATATTTCAGTTTCCAGTCACATTTAGGTCAATTTTAAACTTTGAAAATTTTGTTCAAAGCTCTCTAGCTAGACAGGATAGTTCAGCAAATGAGAGGTGATTGGTACTGAGCTACAGGGGGCTCTGTATGTTGGCATTTGCCTTCACCCTTGGCTTTTCATCTCTGTGGTGTGCCTCCTTGCCACGTGGCAGGGAGCAGAAGGAGTCTTAATGAAGGGGTGTCAGAATCAAATCCAGGATTCAGAGGAACACAGGAAAAGCCAGCTTTTCACCCGTCTTAAATAGCTGCCTCCCAGATATCACCTCAACCCCTGTTCTAGGTGTGCTTCACACCATGGCAGGTTACCAAGGGGAAGAGAAGATGCTGGGATTAGAGATCTGAGGTTTCTGAGGATGTGAAATGAAGAAAGGCCCTGAGGAAGATAGACATGACTAGGAAATGCTTAGACTCTGCCTGCATGTGGTACCAAAAGAAGCTGAGAAAATAGAGGCAGTCTTTGAGGTGTGCTGTCAAAGCACACTCCTGATACAGTCAAAAGCACTAATGAAGGAGGACTATTTCAGTATACCTTGAGGTTAGACAGAATAAATCTCATCCCCTCTGTACAGGACTAAGTTATCCTACCTATGCAGACCATTTGCAGAACATTTTTAGAAGCAATCTCTAGTAAGCATCTCTCCTTTCCAGCATTAACTGCAGATAATAATAATGGGGCAAATTAGACTTTCTTTCATCACATGTGGATACTTTGCCCTTGGTACGTGGTCACTGGTCTTGATATTCTTGGTATTTAATTGACATATTGAAAGCTCATGGCTTCCCTGTGGCTTGGGCAGCTCAGAAGTTTTATGCAGAGGAAGTGTTAATGTGCACCTGTAGTTCAGTTATGAAAAGGAGAATAGATCCAAGGAGTGTTACTAGATAGGCACTGAATTGATTTGTTTTGTATATGTGCATCTCTGAATCAATTCATTTGTTTTGTGTGTGTCTCCTTCATGTCAGATCACAGCTACTTTGTTACAGTCAATGATAGTTCTTGCCCCATCTCCACTGTGCTTTGGGCACATGTGCTCACAAATGAGCACAGAAAATAATCATGGAGCAAACAAATTAAGGGACAAAATAAAGAGCTACAGGCTTTGAATTGAGTATATTTTACTTTTTTTTTTTGTCAGATAAGGATGTACAAAAATGGGAGAGGAAGGATATCTTGTGATTAAAAGGATGGCAGTGAAAAGCTGGTTTGTTTTATTTATTGCCATATGTACTATCAGAGATTTCTGCTTGTGCAATTTGTTTACTCCTCTGTGTATCAATTGCACTGCCTGTAAGCAAGGAGAATAATACTTGAACCATTATCAATATTTAATCCAAGGCTTAATTAATTAGTGTGTTTAATGGATCTGAGGATCCTCTGATAGAAAAAATACACAACAACAAAACAAACAATTCAAACTCAGCTGATAGTCAAAATAAATATCATTTGGCATTTCTTTTGCCAGGCTCTGAAACATATCAGCTTTATTTACCTAAGATGACACTGAGGAAGCCAAGTTCTGGGTTTGCAAGTAACTTGACCAGAGTTAATGACTCTGGCTGTTGTTGCTCTGAGTCTGAGGATACTGTGAGCACTTGGAGATCTGGCAGTGAAGGTTGTGGGAATGGGGCTATGGAGGGGGGCAGCTGCAGGGCCCAGCTCCCAGGCACGTGTGGACAAGGATTTTGCCAGGTAAAACTTCCCGGGCTGCCTGGTGGATCCAGAGCAGGGGGGCAATAACCTTTATGAAAGATGCGAGAAAGTCTCTTCCTCTCACCAACTAAGTGTGAAACAGTAGAAATGATCAATATCTCCCTGCCACGTAAAATATAATAATTTGGAGGGCTCTTGTAATAGGCAATCTTCTGTTTCACAAGAAATTCATGTGTGAGGGAATCCTTTGAAGCCTGTTAATTTCAGTTAGCCCCAGATACACAGAGGTACGCATATCTGCACTGAAATCAAGGCAATTAGATACCTAATTAGCAATTAGCGGTATGTACACAAAACTGTTTAGCTACCCGATTTCTACGTATTTTTTGTGGTGCAGCTGTTGGAGGCAGGCTGCAACTGTAAGCTCCCATCTTCCAGAGGATCATTTTGAGGGATGGCTGTAACTGTGTGAAACACAGCTAGGGCTTCTGTCCAGCTGCCAGCTCTCACACCTCTGCTTCTTGCCTGTGCTCAGCAGACTGTGCGTGCACTTGAGCTCCTGCAAACCAAAGATTGTGCTCCCAGTGTAAACACAAGAGCCAGTAAAAATTATGCTTATGCACATTTATAGCTCTGTGCCATAATATCCACAAACTACTGTTCCGAGTGGCTTTGTGCTTATTAAGCTTGACTTTAAACCACAGCACTCAAGAGAAGGACATTCCTTTCATGAAACCCTTTCCCCCAGTGAACGATGTCATTCCTGAGCCTGATACCCTCTTGCATGGAGAAGCTGCTGACTGTGATGGGATCTGGGTGCAGGTTTCTGGGCAGTGTTTTAGCTTCCTGCTAAAATGATGAAGCCAGAAGGAGCAAACAGGTCTTAAGGAACAGAATTTTTCGTGTGGTATCTGGGATATTGAAGCAACCTTGACTACTCTTCTCAGGTATAATGATGTGCTCTCCCATTCTGAAGACCTGGTTACCCTCTTACCCATGTTTTAAAAAGAAAAAAAAAAAAAATAATGAAGAAAGGCCTCATTAGAGGAGAAATGACTGTGATCATACTTCCAAATAATTATTGCAGCTTTCCTTGCAGAAACTGACACCAGGTGTCATATCTACCTGCAGCTAAAATGGGAGGTGGGGAGGTAGGGTCAGTAAGTGTGAAATGCAAGAGAAAATGGTGTCAGCTTCAAGCTGTGTTCCCCCGAGTAAAATACTAAATAAGGATAGTATAGCACAAATAAAAAATGTATAACATCAAGCAGATTTTCTACATGTCATTCTAGATCTCTATTTTAAATTTGGATCCACACTGTAAAGCCACAGAATAATGAAAAGGGGTTTGCTTTAGCTTTGGAAGACTTAAAGAAGTGCAGCTGTAGAACAGGAATTTTGTTCCCAAGCAAGATACCCTACTGAGGATGACAGAGCAGGGAAGGATACGAAACTACTCTGAAGTGATGGTTGGGACCTCTCTGATAGCTATCAGGAAGGTTGTCATATCAGGAAGACAAATTTCTCCCACAGAGAGGATTTCCCAGGAAGCCTTTTGAAAAGAAATGTTCTCATAAGTAAATCGTACAGCTGGTGTAGACTCAAGGTTAAGAGGTTGGTACAAGCCCTGTCCAAATGTTAGCAGGAAATAAAACTGAAATAACAGCAGCCTTTCACTGACATCAGCTCCTTATTTGTAGGCACCCTAAGGAATCACTACCCTTCAGTGATGATAGGGACATTTGCTTTTGTTTCTTGTAGAATCTGCAAACAGATTCTATTACAAGCTCTGTTTTCAGGCTGTGCTATAGATTTTTCTCCTAAAGGTGATTCGACCTAGAGGACTTCATGTTTCCTGAAAACACTAGGAGCAGTTCCCCATAGGTTTAAAGATGAATGGACTATGCATTTTTGAGATACAGATTACTTTAAAAATTACTCTTGCTTTTAAAATCTCAACTATTTTTGGGTCTCTGGGCCAGGCCACACAAAAGGCATAAGCAGGCCATGCCAAGAATGAGGGCTGACAGTAAAGTAGAATTGTAAGAAGCAAAAGTCATCCTAAATGCCTCTGTATTAACACTCTGCCAAGCAGGAGATGGGAAGGGGGAAGTCTGGCAAGAAGAGAAAACAGTTAAGCCATTTTAAATTAATTTTCTTTAAAACTTGTTAGGAAAATATTTTCATGAACAAGGGAATAATTTTCTTCCAACTGCTTGTTTAGGCATCTGCCTCGGCTGGTTTCCTTGGCTCATGTGAGGGATGGGAGGCAGGGGCAGCTGCTGGCTGCCCTTTCTGAGCTGGAAAGGGCTGAGGCTCCTGTTCCCTGAGCAGCAGAGAAAGCCTCACACTGTCACCCTGCTCTTTGGAGTGATTCTGGTTGCTTGGCCTTCCTAGGCCTTGTCAAAGACCACACAATGTCTTTTCCAAAGTGAGCACTTGTACATTTTAGGGTTTTGCCATGCTTAGAAAGCAAGTAGAATTATACTGAAGGATTCTAAATGGTTTCCACCTGACCTTGGAGTACAAGTACTCTGGGTAATGCTAGGAGGATAGCTTTTGTCAGCTAATAACACAACTGAACAAACATGAAACATCATTAGCTATAAATATTAGCAACAGATTAGCTAAGTAAAAAGCATATTTTTCAAGCAGGTCATCTAAAAAAAGCACATGGAAATCCAGCAGCTTCACTTATTTGTTTCATTAGCTTCTCACAAACCATACACAACATTCAGGGTTCACTGCAACTTTGTCCCTCCCCTGTTGAGGATGTTTTCACCAGGCTTCAGGAAATTGATAACCTTTGTATAAAACCCTTTTCAAAGCCTTAAAAGTAAGGTGACACCTGCTGAGATTTCACTGCTTCTGATCCCTGTGTGCTTGCAAGGTTGCTCGAGTGAAGGGCTAAACATAAAAACCAGCTTGGAAAGCATAGCTATTACTGTACAAAGGTATCACAGCAAATCTTTAGGTAACTTTTACTTACTATTGCAAATTCTTTGTTGAGGATCATCTGCTCCACCAGTGATGACTCGTTGTGGAAGAGGTGAGGCTGCATGTGACTCCACATGTGGGGAAACCACCAAAACTCATCCACAGATCTCAACAGCAGGTCATCACCTTCATCTTCCTCTTCGGTCCCTGCAAAAGAAAGAAAGAAAAGAATCAAACAGAGGTAATAGAAAAGCAACAGTAGAAAATGCCCACAATTGTTTTTTAAATACAGAAGAGGCTGCCACAAAACCTACTGTCCTTGGTCTGGATGTCTTACTGTGCTGGAGATAAGCTCTACCATCTCATAGTGATGTGGATTACCAGTGGATGGTAGTTATCCCTTTCTATCCCTGGCTTGGTGTTAACAGACAGTAATTCTAACAAAACTCAGTTCTCAAGGGTTGATTGTTTTGCTGTGTAATGTAGTGTTTAGAGGCTCAGATTCCCCATGAAGGCGCAGATTGGATGGACTTGTACCCACCTGCTTTGGTTCTGCTAGACCCTACATGGTTGTAGCTGGCCAGGGTGGCATCACAGAGAGCTTGTGTGCCAGAGCCTCACCAGCCCCCCAACGCCCTCAAAGCTGGGTCATTATTAGCCTCAGTAAATTGAAATCTCAGTATTTCTGGTAAAAGTTGAAGCAAGCTTGCAGTGGTTTCAAAAGCTAATTAAGTGGAAAACGTGACGCTGTATTGGAAAAGGGATTCCAAATGTTGTTTCCTATGGTTCAGCATTCAATTATTGCCAGCTTTACTCTTGAAGTAAAACCAGTAAGAACTCCTGTGTCAGTGAGGAGTATCTGCTTCAGGCAGAAGCAGGCACGTGTGGTGATAACAAGGAAAAGCTGTCGTTTGAGAAATGATGCGATGCTGCTTCCACTATTTTTTTCAAACTGGAAAGGCAAAGTTACACTTCTCTAACTTCACCCTCAAATTTTTATTCAACAATGTTCTTTTTATTAACAGCCTTCCTTCTTTTTCCTTTACCATTTTTTTTTTTACCAAGCTTTTTTTTACCTTCAGTCAAAGAAGTAAGTCTCAAAATCAGTTACTGTTGGAGTTATCTTTTGTTCTTAAAAGCCTTTCAGTTCTACAAATGCTGTTCAGTTCTTTTTTTGATTTTCCATTTTTGCTGTCTTTTGGAGAATGCTGCTACAGAGTCATAGAATCATGGAATGGTTAAAGTTGGAAGGGACCTTAAAGATCATCAGGTTCCAACCTCCCTGCCATGAGCAGGGACACCTCACACTAGACCAGGCTGCACAAGCCTCATCCAGCCTGGCCTTGGACACATCCAGGGAGGGGGCTTCCACAACCTCCCTGGGCAACCTATTCCAGTGCCTCACTACCCTTGTGGTGAGGAATTTCTTTCTGATGTCTAACCTAAATCTCCTCTCTTTCAGTTTAAAACCATTACCCATTGTCCTATCACTGCCCTCTGTTGAAAAGTTTCTCCCTGTCATTCATGTAGGCTCCCTTTAGGTATTGGAAAGTCTCCCTAAAGCATTCTCTTCTCCAGGCTAAACAGCCCCAGCTCTCTCAGCCTATCTTCACAGCAGAGGTGTTCCAGCCCTTTGATCATCTTTACATGATCAGCAGTAATACTCAGAAGGAGAGTATTTGAAACTTTCTCCTGATGTCACTGAATCACTACATTACCCTCTTTGCAGCACTCAGCAGGAGCAATTTCATTAGGATGTGCAGATGGGAGTGGTGCTGGGAAAAGGAAGCAAACTTGTTTTCCCAGTAATTCCTTATTGAAAAGAAAGGACAGAGTGCTGTTCCTTTTGTGAATGTCTGCTTCTTCGTGTATAAGTGCTGTACACTGCATCAGCTGGATGGTGGGTCTCTGGTTTTCTGGGGTATGAGGTTCACCTGCAGTCACTCAGGCAGATACAAGGGATTTGAGGAAGAAACTTAAGATGGGCTTTCAAAACAGGGCAGAAAAGAAATGGGATAGGAGTTTGTGAAGCTGGTGATCTATTTGGTAACCTAAAGGTAGGGATGAAGAAGAAAAATGTGGATATTTTAAATATATAAAGAACTACAATCATTCTGCGTAAGATTTAGGTCAAAGTATAACTTAGTGCCTTATTAACATTTGAAGTAGAGGATGGTTCTTCAAATAATTCCATTTTAAAAAAAAAAAAGGTATTTTAAAGTCCTATTTTTCCTATTAATGTCTTCATAAATTGAGATACAGCTAATCAAACTTTGCAGCTTTTTTTTTTTTTACCATAACAAAAATCAATAAGATGAAGCATAGCATTTTCCAGTTTAAACAAAAACAACCCCAACCTGTAATAGCAGAGCTGAAACAGAACGACTGGAAGTCTAACTTTTGGTGGTGGTGTTGCTTTTAAGGATAATTTTCTTTACAAGCCATTAAAAAGAATGTTGTTTGATTTTTATAAATTCTTAATTAGCATGATTTCCAAAAAATCTCATGACAAGGTTTATTGGAGCATTTGGTGAGTGCTCATATTGAAATATTTTTGCCTAATCCCTTACTTAGAGTGTTGGAGGCAAAATAAGGGATTTTGAGGTTTTAATTTCTTGTACAGTCAACATGTTTTATGTAACTTTCTGTCTTCATTTTAATGTGAAATCTGAAAAATGCAGTAGACCTACAATCAAGAAGGTGAACATATATCTGCTTTGAGCTGCAGTATGTGCTTCACTCAGGCAAGTAATAATTCAGAGTTTGCTTGCCCATAGTACATAATCCCATATTTTAAAACTACAGCTATGACTTAGAGGTCTCCTTTGAGCTCAATACTGAACCTAAGTTTGAAGTTGCTATCAATAATGTTATAAATCTTAAATGCAAATCCTGAGAACATCTTAATTTCTACTGCCACGGCATCACCGAGTAGAAAGTGTTTGCCAAAACTGCCAAAACAGGAGGGTCTATAGTTGTTGGTTTTTTTTGCTGATAGAGTTATGTCTCCAGTGTATAGTTTAGCAATGCTGCAAGAAGGGAGTGATGGTGGTGAGAAGATGAGCAGTGAGGCTGCTGTGCTTGTGTGCAGGCACACTGGCTAGGATTGGGATTGTAGTACAGATGTCAGCAACATCTTCTGATGAAAATGTGCAACTGTTTAATCTGCCAGCACACTCCCATGCTCATCTCCCTCCAAGTTTTGGGAAAGAGAGCAAAATCACACATTAAGGAACTCAATAAGGCCCAGTAGTTGCAGTAGGCTAATAAAAGATGTTGAGTATCTGCTGCTTAAAGCCTCTTGGCATAATGAAGCCACTTGAGCAGTAATTAAAAAATACTTTTCCATGTTTTGTTTACAGTGAGACAATAAAGTGCATATTGCATGGAGAATACTTTGAAACCTTCGTGCTAAGCTGATATGACAAAGACCACCACTAACCTGTACAAGAAGTGGTCACTTAACTGGGATACAGCGCTGGGTACCAGCAGTGTCAGGTCCCTTCTTGGAGGCAGTGATAAGCTTCAACACCTTAAGTAGACCTGTGCTATTTTTGTAAGCCTGGAGAGCCTTATGAGGACAGGTACACATGCACATCCTCCTATTTTATCTGCAGCAGCAGTAAATCTGAAATTGTTCAGTGTTTCACCAGCTGGGCAAGACAACCTGTGACAGCAATACGGAGGCCGCTGGGATGAGCAAAGGAAAAACTGTGTTGGCAGGTCAGGGGGTTGATTTTTGCAGCAAGGCTGCATGTTTTGTGCCAGCTCCTGTTCAGTATTTGTAATAAATTCCCTTTCTGCACCTTCTCCCCTCCCTGAATTACCTTCCTCTGCAGTGGACACTGCAGTGATGGCAGCTTGGCTCTGTAGATGGCCACAGCCAAGCAGCATCCTGCCTCAGAGCAGCTCAGGGCCTTGGGCTGCTCTTGGTTTATTTTGCTGTAGTGTGTGTGTCCAATTAATCTCCAGAAGGAATAACTACACAGGCAGGCCAAGATGAAGTGGTGAGAATACCGAAGTTCTGTCTCCAAAGTTGCTCTCTAATCACAGGTCTGCCACTGGTTTGTTATATGACCCCAGGCAAGTAATTCCATCTCTCTCTACCTCTCATTTTTCTCAGGCTCTCCAGCCTGTATCTTTAGTCTGTAAAGCTTCCTGGGCAGTAGTTGTTTTGCCTTATGTGCTTGCACAAGGGGAAAGCAGCCTCGACTTCAAAAGTGACAGTGATACAAATACATAATTTTACTTGCCTTCTCTCTACTCATTCCTCAAATGCTTCCTCATCTCCCCTTCTCCGAGGGACTTCTCTGTTCTCCTTACAGGTGATGAAATGGAGCCATAAGAGCTGGCTAAGCTCATCTGTTTGGTCTTCAAATACCAGCAATGAAAAGGGAAGCACTTCTACATCTACACTGAGAGGCATGATCTGCCTTTCTCCACAGCTGCCTCCTGATGGGAAGGGGGTGAGGTTTGGAAAGGAGGAGGACAAGCAGGTGTCTCCTTTGAAGCTAATTACTGAATATGTCCCTTTTTGATTTTTTTTCTTTTTTCTCTTGCCTTAGCAGTACCAGGGAGCAGCAAGGCTTGGTGGCAACTGAGGGAAGCCTGAGTGGAGGTGCAGCAAAGTATTACGAAGAAGGTAAAGGAGAGGGGAAAAAAAACATGGAAAAAAACCAAAACAAAACAGTGGGGGGCATTGGGCTGTTCAGAAATTAGCAAAAAGAAAGAAGTAATGAGAAGGAGGAGAAGTAAAAGCACCTGATCTTCCACAGCAGCACAGTGCAAATGTGCAACTTGTAACTGCACAGAGTGTCAAAGGAGTTTCAATACCAATTTCTTTTCATCTTGTTTTGCATTTATTATCCCTCCTGATTTGTAGGGCACAGATCACCTTTGCAGTCATAACACAATCTTGTGCATCCCATTCAGATTCTTCTGCCTCTTCAGATGTTGAGACATGATTTTTCCACCTTTTATATTTCAGCATACTGGGAAAACCTTAGTATGTCTTCTGTGCTGCCCTGCCTTTTGTGGAATTTGAGAGATTTTAGCAGCTACTTTACCTCTTTAGGAACCCTAAGATTTACTACCCCACATCTTTAAGAAAAGCACCGAGGGCATTTTTGTGTTCCCAAAAAGCTCATCTGCAGCCCCTTTGGACACTGAATTAGACACTGGATCCTCAAATGGTGGAGAAAATGTTTCCCACTGTGCCACTGGCTCAACATGTTATTTTAAAAAGGGCGTGTTTAAAGCTGGGTTTAAAATCCTATCACCTATTTAACTGCAGCTACCTGAGAACATGAAGTTCCTTCTTACCTGTGTGGTAAAATTTTCCTGAAAATCCAAGGTTGAAGGTAAAATTTGCAACCTGAGTGCGCAGTAAATTTTGAGTCTCTAGTAAAGCCTGAAATAAATAAGAAATTAACATGCATTTAGAAAAATTAATATTGTTTTTTTTTGAATGCCTCATTTTAAAAGTTGTGTCCAACTGAGGAGATATAAAAAAAAAGAAGATCCTGTTAAATGTTTCATATTTTATTTCTGGCTCATTCTTTTTTATAAGACTATTACAATAAGCTTAATTTGCTCCATCAGAGTTAGATGTCCAGCAATGCCATTAATAGTACCTAAGTAGGTGATGGTTCTGTAGCTTGGACCAAGATATACAGTGTTTGCAGTGATTTGTGGCAGGACTTACATCCAGCCATTCAGATGCAGCAATATAGTAAATGATTAAGTCACCCACGCTTTGGGTTATTGCTGAATCTTGATAAAATGTGCTTGAAACACAAAGTAAAATTAGGAATACAGCTTGCATTCCACATGTGGAGGCACTGGGATTTACTTACCTGCAGAAACATTTTTGAGTGTGTCTGAATACCAAATTCAGGTTTAAGAGTGAGTGGGCAAAGCTCCAGTTTTGACCTATGACAGAAGTAGTGTCTTTGTCAGAAATTACATCTCTGTTTATTTTTATTGTCTGAGCAAAAGATAAGACCAATCTAAATGAAGTGGAGGAAAAGGGAACCTGTAGAAGAAACAGGCATAGTCTTGGTCATCTATCTTTTTTTTTTTTTTTCTTGGACATATTTCCAACCACCAGAGAAAGGGGACAGATGGTTCAGAGCTATCTCCATTTACTGTTAGTTGTCAACCCTGCACTGCTTCTAAAGACAGTCCTTGCTGCACAGACACCTTTCTGCTTTCTATCATGTAATTTGGATGTGCTACATGTGTCAGATGGATGGTGCATTTATCTCCCTATTGGTCTTGCCAATGTTGGATGGTTTTTAAGCTCTATTTTCATCAATTTTCTGTGTCTCCATTATGTGGCTCTTGAGAACTTTTCCCATTATCTATTAATAACATTTCTATTGATCGAACGTTCATGTTCTTGCACAGTTCAAAGACAAAATGAATGCAGTGGTTTACACGCAGTGTGAGCCCAGCTAATGTTTCCTTTCATTTGAAAACATCACATTTTGGATGGTCATTAGTAGTTTCACTTCACAGTACAGGAAAATAGTTTTACCTGTTGCTCAACCCACTGGTCTAATTTAAAACCCACCACCAACAAACTCTGCTCCTGACCATAAACCAAAAGTATTGCCAGTCCAGCGTAAATGATATAAGCAGGGTCTAAGCAGCTGAGATGCAGACTGATGGCCTGTGCAGTCAGGTTTCTGTGGTCTCAAGATTTACTGTATTTCCTTTGCATGGCAATGGGCTGGGAGGTGCTGGCAGGTACTGTCAGCACTTGCTGTAGGACATGAGCTTCTCAAAGTTCCTGACTCTCTCCTAACAATGCATATATTTGAGCACCATCCACGTTGGAGTACCAGCCTCCTCTAAAGCATTGTTTGCCAACAGGTGCCTTCTGAAGAGGCATCATTCAGGAGGCTAACACAAAAGGCTGTCAGACAGTGTGCATCTGCCTTCATTTTTTAAATAGAAACATTTGTTGGGTGTTAAGGAAGATGTAAAACAAAGTGGTTATCGGCTACAACAGTCGCCAAGCAATTTCCTTTCCTCACTAAAGGAAATAATATAATGACAGAGAATATTGTGCTCTAGCATTAAATATTAAGGTAGCAGTATGGTTTCCAGCCTATCTTGCCAGACATTTAATAAGTTGATTATTTCAATCCTGTGACAATTTCACATGTGGGACTGTATTTACATAATACATAACAGCTAAATGTTCACTAATGTAAAACCTCAGAGATTGGCTCCACTGTTAGCTAAGCCATTGAAGAAATTCCCAGTTGGTAGAAACTGGCACTAAATTGACACCATTAAAGTCTCAAGCATAGAATCTGAGTCATTATATTTTAGAACATAATTTTCTAAGCTATCTAGAGCATTTTATATATGTGGAAAAAAGACTGATGGGACAAGCAAAATCAATTCAATTTTCCTTTGAGGAAAGAACATCCTGAGAAATTATCATTGCTTAACATACAGTGTAAGAAGGTACACGAAACAAACATCATCATATCACTGCAGTTTTCCTCTTTGATTTCCCTCACACTCACATCTCAATAAGATGACAGAACTGTGGGGGTAGGCAGAAACCTTCCAGCCCAGTGAGGTCTCATTAAAACAAAGAGCAAGGATTAAGATGTAAATCCTGTAACTTGCAGCGTGTCAAGTGTTTTCCTCTGTCTAAAGGGCAAATCTGTCACTCAAACTGGATTTGGCATGGTCCTAAAGACTTTTTTTTTTTTTGATTGCAATTTCCAGGTCTGCATATTAATTTACACAATACGCAACTGAACTTCATTTTCATGACCTCACCTAACTTTAGAACTAAGATACTGTCAGTTAAGTCATTCCAAGCTTATTTTGTCACTAATTGCCTGTTTGTAGGGGAGGGATGTCTTCCACATCCTTAATATAACAAAAAACAATCTCTGGTTAGGTGATTAGGGTCTGCCTTCCCTATTTTTAATGAATATCTATTCAAACAAAATTGCTAATTACTCAGATTGCCTTCACTGGTAATTTGGCACAGTAAATAATGAGGACTTTTGTCTCCTGTAGGTCCTTATTTTGTAGAGAAGATTTTTCTCCTGGGAACTTCATCTGGCCACACTGTTAAATTTCAGTCTGCCAGTATCTCTTCCTCAGTGTCGGTAGGATCACTTGTTTTTCCTCTGAGCACGGGGGCTTGAAAGAGCTATAAGTGGAGGAGATCTACTTGCACGTGAAAAAATAATTGGGGTTCCCCACTGAACTCACAGAGTGGTGTTAAATTAGCAGCTGGAACTCAGTGTTGTTTTATTTTTGGACAGGTAAATAGATCATGTTAAATAATGATCTTTCTCCACAGAGCACACCTGGACAGGGACATACAGACATGTCTCCGGGCCAGCCTAAGCAAAGTGTGGTTTATTTAAGGTAATCAAGCTGTTCTTTCAAATACAAAATGTTAATTGCCTGCAGTCTCTCAAAACTTGTGGGTTTCATTTATTAAGTGAGTCTGTGCTTCGTCAATGAGGCTTCTTTCTGTGACATCCAGAAGATACGGTTTCTTCTTATACTGTGTTTATATTCAGCAGCCTTTTGCTTTAATCCATATAATTACCTTCTGTAGATTTGAAGTTGCCATATCTTTGCCATGTCTTTATTCTTCATAATTGGTGCATCTATTAAGAAGAAGTGATTTTTCCCCACTATGTCCTAGTTAATGATGACTCTATCCTTCATTTACATAATCAACTTTTTGGGGCAATTTCTGCAGCAACATTTCATGCCTAATAGGAAGCAATTTGCTTTCCTTTATTAAGTACATTAAAACTTCATGCCCCAGACATCATTGACTGTAAACATTTGATTCTGCTCAAATTTAATGCACCAAGGCATTTTGCTCTGCCATATTAGGTTTATTTATGTGCTATGTTCTGGATTGTTAGCTGCTAATGAGACTTTGCCTCTCGTTGCTCTAAGGCCTGAACACTAACCTCATTTTAATGAGTTCATTATTTGCTGCCTTCTGAATGGAAGACAACAAATTTTCCTTTTAATTAAAGGTCAAAACACCTCTGGCTAAGAAAAAGTGTAGAGGTTATCAAATCCTTAGAGAAGGTAAAAGAATGACTTTTCCTGATTTTGATGCCAACCATGGGCAGGCCAGGTGGAGGCAGAGGATTTTTCTCTGGGGACCAAAACTCCAAATCTAAGCTAGGTGATAACAGCACAAAAATGTGGTACTAGTCTTCTCCAGACAGTGCAAAAATAAATAAATAAATAAATAGAATCAAATACCCTGAAAGTCAGCCAAAGTAATTAAAGAGGCTTTGCTCCTAACCCAAAGGTCTGTGTGGATCAATACGGCTGCTAAAGTATGAGCCCTTCTTTGCATGTGCAATGATTTATAGGGTGCAGAGGACAGATGCCAGATTAATTGAGCCAACAAAACCTAATCTCATATTTCTTACTGGGGAAAGTGGGGCAAATGTGATCAATGCTGGAGCTGTTTGTCATGAGCCAGAGGTATGTGCAAGCGTTTGTGTGTGTGCAAATGCCCGAGAAGGGGATTGGTGATCCTTTTCTTTGAAAACACAGAGTGGAAACTTTAGTAAAACCAAAAAAGAATTAATTAGAGGAATTCATGCACAGATCCTTGTCTTTCATCTAGCTTCTTATATCTGGTCACCATCTCAAAGGCTGGCTAACAGATACTGGTTCCTGTGCCTCTCGTTGGAGAAGTTGCTCACCTTGGAGGCTGTTAGAGACATGAAGGGTAATGGGGAAAGAAGAGAATTGGTGAGAACAGCTGGTGAAAACTGACAATCTGGTTTTGGAGAGAAATCCCAACAGTTTGTGAAATAGACATTGTATAGCATGAAAGGTGAAATTGTCAACATGTCTTATAACAGCTCTAATCATTATTTCTGCTGAAACAAACCAAATTCCTAACTCTTGCAGGTGTTTCAGGGACCTTCCCAGACACATTGTATAGCATGAAAGGTCAAATTGTCAACATGTCTTACAATAGTATAATCTTATTATCTTATAATAATCATTATTTCTGCCAAACCAAACCAAATTCCTGACTCTTGCAGGTGTTTCAGGGACCTTCCCAGAAGTTACCAAGCATATGTGAGGGAACTGGGAGAAGCCTAGAAGGGATGCAAGACTAACAGGACTCAACATTACCCCACTGTGGAGCAGGAAACCCAACATCTCATCAGGACTCCTGGTCATACATAAGACATCACCTTCCAGAGGTGATTTCTGGGAACCAGCAAAAACTCAAGATCTCAGAGGTTCCTGTTTCCATGGCAGGGTTCTCTGTGGTCAGGGTGCCCAGGGTGGGCATGTGGGACACTCCACTAGGTAGAGCTGCCCAAGGAAACATGATCCCATGTTACTACAGAGCCTGTCCATGAGGACCTCACA